TCTCTTCCCCGGCCAGAAGGGGAAGAACTGAGCCCCCTGACAGTGGCACCATTCAGAGTTCATTTCTCTGGCCTTTGAAGCAGGGCAGCAAGCAATTGTGGGATTTTTGTGAGTGGGAACTGCCCAGCCCTCTCTGGGCTGGGGAGCCAAATGTCAGTGCTCAAAGGGAAAAAGAGCAGCTTCTACCATGGTAACAGTGGTTCTGCAAGGAAAAGAAATAACTGTGTCTGTGCTCTGCTCTCCTTTGCTGCTAGTTGGAGTTACAGGGGAAATCCCTGTTTTTGTAGGGACTCATGGGGTTGGACATAGGATTGCCTGTATAGATACTGTTCTTCTAGAAGTTGAAGATCAGCATTTACTTGTACAAGATTGGTGTAATAATATTGACTTCATTTTATAAAGGTCTTGGAGGTCTGTAGATGAAAAATATTCTGTAAAGGTGAGGTGTTACCTGCCTATGCCACAGTTCCCAAAGGATTCTTTGGCAAAGATGACAAAATAATTAAGGCTACACTCTTCATCACTGTTGCTCTTTCAGGTCTCTTTTCCTTCTGTTTCTGGTGTTTGTGGCAGTCTGTAAATGCTTGGAAACAGCTTTTGAAAACATGTTTGCAGACATTTCTAATGAGGCTTTTTGGAATGTAGCTAGTATTTAGAAAACAATTCCTAATGCAGGTTGAAAAAGCATGCATTTTCCAATGAGTTGTTCATATCTCCTTGGTAAACATTGATTTTTCTTTTTTTAACTTGTGGTTCAAATGGAGCTTGAAATTAAAATAGCTCTGTTTGCTCACCTTCTTGTTTGCCAGTCACTGTTGCTGAGCTCAGCACTGCTCTAGGAACAGGTTTGCTAATTGTTTTCACTCCTTCTGATGGTTTTTACAGTAACAGTTCAAATCACATCAATCCTCTACAGCAGTAGCTATCACTCAGGTTTCTCAGTAACAAATGCTGAATTAAAACAAAAGCATTGTCGGCAGACACAGAATCCTGCAGGATAGGGCAGGGAGGGCCCCTCCCAGTGGTTCCTTGTTACTCCCTGTGGTAGTGAGGGATCTGTGAAGATGCTGAGTACATAACAGATGAGCCAGCCCTGAGTTTGCCATGTAGTACCCTGAGCAGTCCTGAATTTGGGCCACTTCAGCACACTAAACCTGTAGCCAACTCTTCTGTGTGTTTGGCTGGGCAAGGCACAAGTCCTCACGGTGTCATTAAGTCAAGTCTAAGTTTAACAGCTGGACTCTGATATAAGGGGTGTTTTCCAGCCTGAATGATTTTGTGACTCTGCAGTGTTATGGAGCCTTTGCATGAGGAGTCCCAGCAAGCAGTGTGCCAGCTCTCTGACACAGCAGTGATGTGTTACTGGGGTACATTTATCAATGCCCAGTTCAGAACACAGCACTGCTCTCTTGTGTCACAGCTGAAATCCTTTGTCTAACTTGTTTTTTTTCAGTTTTGGGCGCTCTGTTTCCATTTTTTCTGTTAGAATGAAGGTAATATTTGCTATAAACCCTGACCTGTTGTAGAAAAACTAATAAATATATTTAGAAAACCTACAAATAGCTCAGGGTCCAGTGTTTTAAAAACAGAACTAAAAGAGGAGCTACAAAATATTCTGGATGTGAGTTTGTACCACCAGCACAATGTTGTTGAGTAAGTGTACCCTGAATCTGTTCCCAGGGCATGTGCAAACTGGATAGGAGAGCTGGGCATGAAGCTGTGCATGGTTGGAAAGGGCAAAGGAAATAATGCATGCAAGTGAGTCTGCTGAAACCTGAGCAGTACTTTGTCTCTTTTTTCCATTGGTTACTTGGAGTAGAAGGATGTGTGAGTTTGGGATGCCATAAATTGATCCTGCTCTGGCACACGTTGTGCTGTGAGACCATCAGTGAGAGCCCTCAGGCAGTGCAGGGTGTGGTTGTCAGTGGAGTGCTCGGGGAAGTGCAGCAGTGTTTTAATGAGGGATGGTTTGAAGGCCCCTGAGTGATGACACTGGCTGGCTGTGTGCAGGAATATCCCTGTGGTTTGGTGCCTAAGGGCCACCACTGCCAGCTCCACTGTCCCTCTGCCTCAGGGTGGGAGCAGTGGGGGGGCAGGGGTGCCAGGCACCCTAAATAATCTCTTTGAGAACCAAAGAAAATTCTCTTTTCTGAGCTACATAGGCCTCTTCTACCAATGGCAATTAGTGCTTTATGCCGTGCATTAGTTAATGATTGCTGGTTTATTTAATAGATTGGATACAAAATAAACAAGTTGGTTTGCTATTGACCTATCAGTTATGATGTCTGATTACCCCTCTGGGGAACATATGTAGCCATTTGTCCTGACACTTTGTTAAAATAGGTGGTATTATGGGACCAATCCACCTAATTCCTCACTCCCTGGGGCCCTTTAGTGTACTTAGCTGTGGAAAGGTGATTTCTGGAGCATGACAGCTGTTGGTGCTGGGGCCATTGTGTGGGGAGCACCACGGGTTATATTCTGCTCAAACGCTGCCTTTGTGTCATTGATACAGAAACCATTTCGTAAATTAGATACAACTCTTCCCAGGGAAATTGTATTCCTGCTCTGTGTTTGGTTGCTGGAATACATTAACGTGAGCCACCAGCACAGAGCAGCAGTAGATGATGTTTGACCTTGGCATTGCCACGAGGCCTGTTGGGTTTGTCCTGTCAGCTGCTGGCATCCCTACCTACTTTTGGGGATTAGGTGTGTTACAAGTAGTTTCTCATTGTGGTTTTTTACCACTTATTAATTTATTAAAAGTCACATTTCAACAGAAACATCACTAATTGTTTTCCCCCAGAAGACCATGCTTTCCTACGAAGTTGTGACCCTGTGTGTGCAGCAGAGCCCAGCCTGTCAGAGTTCCTGTCTGCTGACCCAGGGAATGGGAATGGCAGGAGTAGAGCCTGAAGCACCCTGTCTTCCACACCTGTTTGTGGGACCAGGAGAGCTCCAGTGTCAGCATTGGCAGGGCTACATCACATGTGGTTGGGGCATGACCATTTAGTTTGTTACAAAGAACATGGTTTTATTTTAAGCAGTGGGGGATGTCTGTAGTACTTGGCATCAGTTCTTCTTATTTCCTAAAGCTTCTCCCAGCAATTTTCAGTGGACTATGAAAGGTTTTTTCATTTTCTGAAATGTGGAACTATTATAGGTATATTCTAACTTGTGACCCAAATCCTTTTAGTGGCAGATCCTGCTGTAAGGAGTGTTTAACCACGTACAAAAGCACTGGCTGTGGATGGAACTGTTTGGCTTCTCTGTGCACTTGCTGCTGTCCCGTGTAACTCTGATAGGAGCACGAGGGTGGTTCTGTGCTTCTCCCTGGCAAGCCCAGGCATTCTTCACTGCAGCGTGTGCTGGCTGGCACACAGCTGACCTCTGCTAAGCAGCCACCATGGGCTGGTATACTTTTTAAGATATCTTCTGGAATTTTCCTAGGGCAGTACAGTCCCTGAGATGAATGTGGCTCACCACTGGATGTCCTCGTTGCACTATGGTGAACTGCAACCTGAAGAACATCTATCTGGCAGTAAAAAATAATGTTGTCTGACCAAAGGCAACATTTAGTTTTGCCACATTCTAAATGGCTTGCTACGCAGTGATGCCAGTTGGCAAGGCATTGGTCCATAATCTTTCCTTAAGGACAGCACTAGTCATTCTCCAGACAGTTTTCCTCCTTCTGTGCTGTGGGGCTGTGCTGAAACCTCAGCTGTGGGGCTCCACCAGTGCAGAGACATGGCATAAAAGATCTCCTGGGGATCTCAGTGTGCCACATACTTCTTGAGAAGGCACATGTAATTACCATAGCTTTAAAATAAAACACTCTCCATCTATTGAATTACTGTCAACTAATATATAGAGAATATATTTCTACTGTAATTTCATAGGAGGAATTCAGAGGGCTTAATATCATTAACCCTCTGCCTCCTATTTGTAGTAGAGGAAAACCTGTTAGAAGCCTTGGATTGCTTCCTGCCTAAGTGCCACAGTAGGAATTTATAGGAGAAGTGTCTGACAAACATCAGAAGTGGCTCCATTTTGCATTGGCCTTCCCAGTGCATTTATGACTCTGCACTTATGCATTCTATGAAATGGGAATGTAGGCACCCCAGAGCAATCAGAAAAATGCAGTGTGTTGTACTGTGAGATGGGAAGTATTTCCCTGCCTTCCATCAGAAATTCAAAAGCTAAATATAGTTCAGGGCAGAAAAAAAATTGTCAAATGCAATGTTACCTCTTGGCTCTTTCTTGCATATTGATTTTGAGAATCTCTGTTAGGTAGAGAGACTTAGAGACACATGGAGGGAAAAAACAACACATGGGGTCTGTTGCCTGTATAGCCAGGGTGTGCATTAAGTAGTATGGAAACTGAGATTAGTAATTACAAATGCTATAGTAAGATTTTGTGACTGGAGTATTGATCCCGGTGGCAATGAGGTACTTGCTTATGCATGTGACAGCCTGGCTTTCTGGGTGGCTGCTCTGTATTTCAAGAAAAGAGAAGGATAATTTTGGGAGTTTTCAATTCAACACACACAGACACTCAAAATATAAGTTTCTAGTTAATTTGAGTGAAACCATTTCCATAAATAAACCAGCATGAGTGAAAACTGCTCTAGAGGGCATAAAAATGGCCTTAGCAGTATAGAAATGCATGTTCTCCAGGTGTTTGCTAAATGCAGTGAGTGATAGCATAGGTGGTGTTTTGTCCTCTCCTATGAGGGCTCCAGAGTATCTTGCTCAAGAGAAGCCAGATCATTCAGCTCTGCTAATTTTCTGTGACCTATTAAACATGCATGTATTTCAGCATTTCTGTATAACTTATCTGGTGCTGTGCACAGAAAAATCATGCTATTAGTCATGTCAGTGAGCCATAAAAAGTTTGGTGTGAATGCAAGGTAGCACATCACTGTGAGTTTAATGCTTCTTAGCAGGCTTTGGCTGCTTTTTTAATGCATTTCTGTGTCATGTTCCATATGTTTTTACAGTTGAGTTTTTCTTTGAACCTCACAAATCGAAAACTGGTGCTGGAATCTAAAGTGTCTATCAACACTAGAATTGTGGTGGTTGGTGCATCCGATGTTGGAATCTCTTTTTTGGAAACACTGATTTTTTGGTAAGTTTTTAATTTTGTTTCCTTTACTGAGAAGAATGTGTTCCTTTTTGTATGAAGGAACTTGTGTCCCTTCTATATGAAGGGGCTTGTTTCTTCCATGTGAAGTGTGCCTTGAGTCTGTATCAGAGCATTTGCTGAGACAAGTTACAGGTCTGAGCACCTGTAGCTGCAGAGAGGTGTGTGCTGGCACCCTGGCTTCCTCTGGGGCTCCAAGGCTGCCAAGCTACTCCGGGTCACCCAGAGATCCTCAGGGTGGAGGCACACTGACAATGAGAATGGGAAGCACTTAAAGTCAGTCTCCTTGGATGTTGTTCTTACACCAGATTGTTAGGGGTGGAAGTCAGTAGCCCTTCATGTGTTCTCCAAAGCAGTGTTGACCTTTAAAGCCAGTTGTGCCCAGTGGGATCCCAAATTGCTGCTTGGATCCCTCCTTGCCTTCCCTTGTGATGATGCCATGTTTTCAGAGCTGTGCAGAAATGTGCCACGTGAGCTTGTTGAGTTGTCTCGCTGTGATGTTTTGATTCTCATGACACCTTTTGATTCCTTTGATTCTGATGAGGTTTGTGATGTTTGGGATTGCTCAGGAATCACAGTTGTAATTCCTGTCAGTTCTGCCAGTTTGCTGCAGACCTGGGTGTGAGTGTGGGAAAGGTCTGGCAGAGGACACCACTCTGTCAGTGACCCCACCTGGAGCATGTGCTGGCAGCATGCACTAAAGCATTTTTTCAGCAGTAAAACTGCAAATAGAATTGCTGTGGTTATCTGGAATTATCCAAATTGGAGTAAATAACTGTATAAACTTGTGGAGAAGGGGAGTATGCAGCTGTTTTTATACCTTTCCCTGTCTAAGGCAGGGAAAGCTGGTGGGTGAGGTCTGCTGTTTCACAGCCTTCCCAAAGTGAGGACAGGGTGCCCTCTCTGATGTTTCACTGTTGCAGCTCCTGTGCCAGTACCTCCTCCACAGCAGTTTCAGGGGCTTATTGGGAAGTCAGACTGTGAAAATGCAGTTTCTTTGATGCAGTCAGTGTTTTCTGCAGTTTATTCACACATACTAGAGATGTCTTGAAACACTTGCAGAAATGAATATGAAATTCAAATCCTGAACATGATTTTTATGACAAAATGCTACAGGAGCTGGGGGAGTCTGGTGCTTTAATGGGGGGGCAGAGAATGAAAAATTCTGCCTTTTTTTCAGTTAAGCCAGGAATTTGTATTTCTACAACAACCACTGATAACATCACAAATGAAAATGAAATCAGTATGTCAAGAGAAGAATAAGTTGAAGTGCTTTATAGATGTTGTACTGCTGGAGCAGTGCAGAAAAAATTCCTGCTTCTTGCTCTTTATTATGTTCCTGACTTTTCCTGTAAAGCATCCTATCTTGGGGTAAATCACTTCCTCTCATCCTCCTTTTAGGCTTTCAGTTCCGCCCTGAATTCAGTTAAAGATGCACTTCAGAGCTTTTAACCTCTTTCTTACTACTCACCCTGTGCTGTTTATTGCTGTGCTTTCAAACACTGTGAGGGAAACCAAGGTGTGTTTGTGCTCCAGGTGTGTCAGCCAGCAGCTGAGTCTGTAGTGAACAGGCCTTTACAGGTGTTGCCCTCAGAATGTCTCAGCCAAGGCTTTCCAGGCAGGAGTTTAGTGTGATCCCAACTCTAGCAGAGTTCCTGCAGGACACATCCCCCTTGTGTGTAGCAGAGAGCTTGTCTGCAGTGCTGCACAGCTGAGCTCCTGCCTGAGCCGTGGGGTGCTGCTCCAGGAGCGACTGAGTGCACTGAGTTTATATTAATAGAGGTATAAATTTAGGAAAGATTATTTTTTAATTTTCACATCAGCAGCAAATAGCCTTCTGATCAATGTGAAGGCCTTTTAAAGCAGTTTAGTTTAATTTGCTCATAATTTTCTAATATTCCCTGCGAAGGTTACGTGCACTAAAAATAGCTGGATTGAATCAATTTGTGAGCCCTAATCCTTAAAAAGAGGAAGTTATTTTCTCGTTGTTGTTCTTCATACTTAATTATTTTACATTATCAGTCACCATGGAAACACACAAATGTAATTCACTTACCGACATGGCAGTTATTAGAACTTGATCTTGCAAATGTTTTCAACTTCTTTGAGACTGAGGAAATAGGGTTATTTCTCTGCTTAATAAAAAAACGTAAGAGTGAGCTCTGCTCCCCTGTGTTGGGATGGCTCCTGTTCCTACTGTGCTGTGGGCAGCACATCCCAGGGCACAGCACTCCTGGGGCAGTGCCATGGAGCAGCTGTGGCACTGTGCACACCCACCTGGACCCCAGATGAGCTTTGGAATCCTCCGTGCTGCTCAGGGCAGTGTGTGCTGGCAGCTGGACCTCCCAGACCTCTGCCCCGCTCTCTGGCTCTGCTTCTGGAGCCTTGGGAAGCAGTCCCAGGGGACAGAACACTGGGGCACCCACTGGAGTCCTTCACTTCACAGGGCCCTGCAGGAATGCTGCAAACAGGTGTGTGGAGTAGCTTGTGAGTCCAGGGAGCTTCCTCCTAATCCTGGGGTGCTCTGAGCCCTGGGGAATTGCTTCCGTGTTCTCCATCCAGTGCTGGGGCAGTGCAGGTGATACCACTTTTCAGGTTTCACCATTCAAATAAGTATTTCCTGATTTTTTTAATTTTTTTTTCTTGGAATGTAGTCATATGCAGACATGTTTTTAGCTGTACTGCTGCTTTTCTTGGCAGTGCACATGGATTTTATTGGAAAGCCAGGTGACTGGTGGAGTCAGTAGGGAGAGCAGAGCCTGGCCTCTCTCGTGCTGACCAGCCAGTGTTTGGGAGGTACAGGTGTGGAGGTTTCCTTGTTTGGTTTTTTTTTCCTTTGCTAGTTTGAGTGATGGGCATGGCAGCAGCATTAGGCCAGAAGAACATAGGATTGCAAACCCCAGCGTTTCCAGGTTGTTCCAGGGGCTGGTTCCTGGAGCAGCCTGTGAACCCGTGTGCCCCAGCTGCCAGGGTGGAAGTTGGGCTGCAGGAATGCAGAGCTTACTCCCAGCAGTATCTTGTCACTGGTTCCAGTGCAGGGAACCAACTGGCTTTTATCCACCTCTTTGCATATAGCTGTGGAAAGCACTATTGTGTTCTGATTATAGGGAAAACCCTTCTTAATCCATGATTTTGAAAAACTCCTTAATCCAACCCCTGGTGTAAACAATGACTTACTCTCTGCAGATGCTGGAATATACATAGCATGCTACATAAAATAGCCATAAATGAATGGTGGCTCAGATCACAATATTTCATATGAAGTTGTTGTGAAATCCATTTCCCTCTCCATACGGGTGCATTAAAATAACTACTGTGTTTAAAAACCAGAGGGATTAAAGTAACTTTTGTCAAAACCCTGAACTTTATTCTTAGGGTAGAATCAGAGTCCAGCACAGTAAATCTGAGTTTTTCTCTGCAGGAGGAGTTCAGGGTACCCAGGATCAGCTCTGAAAGGGCAGGGTCTGAACAGGGTTCCCAACAGAGCAGCTACCACTGCCATATCTGGCAGCACCGGGGTGCACAATATCCTGCACATCTGGCCTGTTTGGCAGTAGTTAGCATAATGCTTGCTGGTTAATTAGGCTTTTTATCTTTGCATTTGTCTGGGAACATCTGAAGCCTTCCATGTTGCCTGTCACTAATTAGTTGACTAATTAAATAGTTAGTGCTTACTTGCTGATCACAGGGCTAACATGTAATGAATGGGTTAGTGATCCCCATTGTTTTGTACTATTTGTCTTTGCCACATGAACTGATACACGTGTGCTTCCCTCTGCCTTTTCTTCATACCAAGGCAAAGCCAGGCCATGTGCTCAGTGTTGCCGGGCCTGCATCCCTCAGACACTGTTGCCTTCCATCATTCCTGGTGAACAGAGCTCAAGCTGTGACAGAGATAAATCAGATGGGTCATAGCTGGCCTTGTTGCGCAGTCGGGATCACAATGAACAATGGCAGTGACTGATACCAGACGTAAATGAGGGGAGAGGATGTGGGTCAGGATCAGCCTTCCTAGCAGCCTCTGCCAGAAAGCGAGGCTCAATTAGCATCAATGTGGGCTTATTTTATAGTTACAGTCTGGCTTTCCAGGCTGTCTGAAGTTTTAAATGAGATGATTTCCACTTGAAGTACGTGCCCCTTAAACATATGCAAACATTTCTCGGAGCCCAAACTTTCCTTTCACACTTGAAATTTTTAAGTATTTGTAAATTTTTTCGTGTTACTATTTATATTTGAACAGTTGTAACTTCCTGTTGCTTGTTAAAGCTGATCTTGGCAATAGTAGTTTTCTCATACAAAGCCTGCTCAAATTTGGAGTGAGTCACAAGGGGTTTATAGAATGCTGGTTTGGATCTGTCATCCCCTCCTGGTGACTCAGTGGGACATGAGCACCATGAGCTTTGTAACCTGGTACCTCTGATCAATGTGGTTCAGAGCAAATACAGAAGCAAGTGCAAACACTGCATTTAGGTTCTCCAACTCTCTCCTCAAGTGACAGAGGGGGTGTAACCCCTCAGCTCCCAGAGCAGTCTGTAGGCTGCCTGTGGGTTGGTTTGGAAGCACAGCAGGCTGTTCAGGCTGCTGCAGTGGAGAAAAAAAATGAATTGTCTGATTAAGATGTGATCCTTCCCGCTAGTGATCAGTGTGGATTTGGTTCCTGTTTGTGTGTGCATGTTTGTGTACTGTGATGAGCAGAGTGGTGACAAATGGAGGTCACTAATTGAAGGGACCGGCTTGGTTTTCTGAATGCTTATTGAGTGGAAGTGTTGAGGTTCTTTTTCTGGATCGCTGTCCCAGGAAGGATCTGGAGGTCTGCAGGGCATCCCAGTGCCCTGCTGAGGAGCTGGGCAGCCCGTGACTGGAGCTGTGGCTGGTGGAGCTGCCCGGTGAGCGAGGCAGCTGTGCCCACTGAGCTGCCAGTGCTGGGTGCTGTGAGCCCTGCACTGCACCTGCCATGGACACATGGTTGGGGTTGGGAATTTTGG